TTTGAGTTGGAGTCTCACTCTGTCACCCAGACTGGAGTGCGGTGGCCGCTCTCGGCCACCACAGCCTCGACCTGCTGGGTTCCAGCGATCCTTCCGCCTCAGCCTTCCAAGTAGCTGGAACTAGAGGCACGCGCTACTACACCTGGCTAATTTTTTTTTTTTTTTTGAGTTGGAGTCTCACTCTGTCGCCCAGACTGGAGTGCAGTGGCTGCTCCTGGCCACCGCAGCCTCAACCTGCTGGGCTCCGGCAATCCTTCCGCCTCAGCCTTCCAAGTAGCTGGAACTACAGGCACGCGCTACCACGCCCGGATAATTTTTTTGATTTATTGTAGAGATGAAGTCTTGCCAAGTTGCCCAGGCGGGTCTCGAACCCGCAGGCTCAGGCAATCCGCTCACCTCAGCTTCCCAAATGCACGGGATTACAGGCTGAGCCACTGAGCCTGGCTAATTTTTTGATTTATTATAGAAATGAGGTCTCGCCAAGTTGCCCAGGTGGGTCTCGAACCCGCGGGCTCAGGCAATCCACTCACCTCAGCCTCCCAAGGCATGGGATTATAGGCTGAGCCACCGAGCCTGGCTTGCCATATTTTTTTTAAAGGATCACGAGTGCTGAAGAAGTATTAAAGATATGCTCACACTTCATCTTTGACATGGCCAGAAGAACTGAAAGAGAAGAGAAAGAGACATTTTCTCGTGCCCAGGTACCTCCTCACCCCTTATCTGTCACAAAGTCCTCTCTCTGTCCCAACATTGCAGGAACTGCTGAGATGTGCACCAGACCCCTGCGCACCAGACTCTGTGACTCCTGACCCTGAACAAGGACCCCTGCCATCTTTCTCTAACTTAGAGCTATGACTAGGAGCCTCCTTTGGAACAAGTCCTTTAAGGACCCTTCCCCATTTCACTCCCAAGTATTTCTTTCTCTCTCTAAGACCTGTCACAAGGACTAGATAACCCAAGTGCTGCTGGCCCAGCAGTCTTGGATAGCAGTATGCAGAACACCTTGTTACAATGTTTGCATGTGACGAGGTGACACTGTGGTGGATGAGGCTACTTGTTACTCAGAGTGAGTAAACTTAGTGCAGTTTGGGTAGAAGGGCAGACATTTTAAGAACCTGAGGTGGGTCTTATAGTGCTGGTAGGAAACAGAAACCTTATATCACAAGCCCTACTGCAGAGGGCTTCACAGTTTGAGGTTAGATTTGTTCTGGGGACTCATTTTCTTGCATGATGGAAATAACAAAATGTGTGTACGTGTCCTTTTTAGAAGCACCCAAGGGACCAAAAAAAGTACAGGAAGAGTTGTTTCTTTAAGTTGTGTGGGGATGTTCTCTATCAACATCATTACACTTTGATCAGGGAAGTTGTGGATGGGTTTTAGTAAAACAAGCTGCAATATCGGGAATGTGGTGGACAAGAACAAAAATTATGTTGGAAATCCTGGTGAAATGTCATTGTAACATTTCTCTCCTGGAAGTAGGCTACTCTCCGTGATGCCCACGGCACACAGGACATGCACTTCTCACCTGGGGCTTGGTCTCATCTTTGTCCTTGTAGTAGAAAAGCTGATCCCCACGTAGCACAAACCAGCGCTGCTGCCAGTTCTTCATGATGCTTCTCTGCTTCTTCAACCAGCCCGCCTTCAGCACAGGGCCTGGCCTGTGTGGGCACAGTGGCCGTCCAGAGCTCCGGCTCTGCTCCCCCATCACCAGGCTTTTGGAGCGGGCTGGAAGCCAAAGACACACAGTGAGCACGAAAACTGGCGTACCTGCTGTCTGTCCCTGTCCCACCTTGGAGTCCCAGCTGCCCTGTGGCTAAGGCAGGGGTACCTCGGTAAACAGGACATGAATGGCTGGGCCTACTTCTCCCTGGGTTCAAAGGGGCATGGGCAGGAGTACCTCTGCAGCAGCAGCTCGAGGTGGCCTACCTGGGATAGGTCAACAGCCTGCCTACCCGATCGTTTCATCTCTGGGATCCTAGCTTCTCCATTTCTCCAGGTTTGTCCATCCATGCATCCCTCATCAACCCACCTATTTGTTCAATAATTTATTCATTCAGTCTTTATTTCTTGAGTACCTACTATGTGCCAGAAACTGTTGCAATTTTCCAGGGGATAAAGCAACAGAATTAAAAAATGTGAAAATGTGGCTCCTCTTGGAGGTTACATTTTAGCAGCATTCCTGTTGCTCAGGTCCAGAGGGAGCAGGCCCATCCAGACCCCCTCCCTTTCTGCTTTCTGTTTGGCCGCTCTCCTCTGGAGGTATTAGACCTCCCCCAAACCACCCTGTTGCTTCCCTTGGGTCATCCTGCAGGGCAGGCCTGGACAATGAGGTTTCTGCTTCAGCTGTTTGTTGATGGCTCTCTGGCAGGGCAAAAGGGCCAGCACTCCCACCTCAGAGCCTCTGAGTGCCCCTGAACCCTACAAGGTCCTTTTCACCAGGTGACGTTGCTGAGCAACACTCTGCCAAGGTTGGAATTGCCCTTCACAGTGATGACTGAGTTCTTGTCCCCTTTGTCCTTAACCTTCTACTTTTTGCTCCATTCCCTTCTCTCTCCTCTGTTTCTGGGGAAGTCTTTTGCCTCTCCTTGGCCAGCATCAAGGATATTGCTATACTGGTCACTAGGAGGGGCCATCTAGACACTGGAGGAACAATTCTAGTTCAAATGTAATCACATTTGTAATTTAAGACACAGATTCTAAATTCTGATTGGATGTGTGTTTCCTGTGACCCACAGTTCTTGCATTGTACTTGTGGTTTTGTGTGTGTGTGTGTGTGTGTGTGTGTGTGTGTGTGTGTGTGTAAGCTCCTCTTGCTACACTAGTGACTGCAGTTCCCTAAGTCTGACCTACCCTTCACCTGTGCTGTCCCACTAACCTGGAGCCTTTCTTCTATCTGTCTCCCATCAACCCCTGGTTTTGGCTGCACAGCAAGCTCCTACTCATCCTTCAAGATCCAGTTCAAATTATACCCCCTCCATGGCAAGGACACATGACTGGTAATCATCTATGAGGATGCCTTTCTGTTACTCTAGATTGAGGGGTGGGGATGGGAGAAAATGATTTTTTACCCAGTTCTACATGTATGGTCCTCATCACCATGCAGGACAGGGAGTAGATGTGAGTCATGGTGACCACACATCAAAAGATACTTAGGGTCACCCTTATTGTTAGGTATGCCTATATCTTAACCTGATGTTAAGTGTCACATGACCCTCAGCTGGTGCTCAGGGACACTTACAGCCCGGTGGATCCCAGCCTATCCTTGAGCTATACCTGGCAGCAGGCTTGGCACTATTAGATGCCTCATAACTGGTTACTATAGCAATAATGATCAGGTTGATGGAAATGGTGCAGTAGGCATCTCCATGCAGAATTTGTCTCCTGAAGGTGGGGTCCTAGCGGTGGGCTCACAGAGCAGAGAGAATGGCCCTTTCTGTGGCCTCTGGCTCTTTGGGTGCCACTATACATTACCTTCTAAAAATGGTGTGTGGCTTTGTTAGATCACACAGTTATACTAGTGTACCACTTTCTCCACAGCCACCAACATTAAATATCATTATTTTTACTTCACATTTTAGTGGATATACAGTAACATGTAGCTAAAGTCTTAGCTTACCCTATTTTTGAATTGTTAAGCAAGTGGAACACCTTTGCACAGGCTTCTACTAACTACATGGACCATCTGCTCTCTCCCTTTGCCCACTTAACTGATTGCACCCTGGTGGAAGGAGCAGCTGGAGTCCTGGAGGTCTACAGTCACTCAGGCCCTCTTCTCCTCTCCATAGGTGCCTCAGACCTTCCCTGTAAGTCTTCCTGCAGCCTGGCAGCTTGCATTTCTAGGCATATGTAGCACCTTGACCTGTGTCTTCACTGCACAACCCTGGCCATTCTGCAACTCCACTGCCTGCCATGGAGAACGCAGACTTGGAAGAAACTGCCCTGCTCAGGTGAGACTGGGCTGAGCCTCTGATGATACAAGTGGGAAAGTACCCTATGCAACCTAATGGCATGAAGAAAGGCCTTTCTGCTCCCAGGGCTGTCCCTTCCTCTGCCCCTCTGTCCCTCTTCTCATCTCAAGCCATCCAGGGACTGAGCTGGGCTGGATTCGACAGACACTTGCTGATCCCCTTCCAGAGTCAGGGACTGTGTCAGTCCCTGGGGAAGTGGAGATGATGCACATTATGAGACAAGGTTTACTACCACCCTGGTCCTCTGGTGAAGTCTGACAGAGGACTGAGGGGTGAGAAGGGACCTGTGCATCCTTTTGGTTACTGAGTTTTATTCTCTGGGTCTCAATTCACTTAGCTTTAAAATTCCTTTAATGGGTTAAGAATGGCTGGTAAAATTAAGTCATCAGAGTCTGGTCTTTTGTTTTTAATTGCCTGAGATATCTAAAATGAGACTTGGCAGATAGTAGTTCCCTGTGGGTGAGGAGGAGTCTCTGGAGCTGATGATTTAGCTCAAGCCTCCATTGTCTATTCATGAATTCTCCCTTTCCTCTTCTCGGGGAATATGCCAGGGTTACTGAGAACCTTCCATCCTTCTACTACAGAGCACCCTCTGGGGCCTTCAATGAAGACTGAAGTCATGGACTGTTCTAGGGATACATCCCTGATTCTGTCTCTTGTCTTCTAATACAACAAGGCCTGAAGCTGGCTCATTCAATGAGATCTAAAGTGCTGCTAGGACCAGGAATATATCCGCCTTTCCTTCCATACCCCTCACAGCATCCTGTGCAGGACCAGGACATAGTAGGAGCGCAACAAAAACTTGATGACTCATCAGCTCAGCTGGACTTCCCTGATCATCACTGAGCCTCTATCCTGGGGCTTGGTAATGTGTACAGAGATGATTCTGTCCAGGCATATCTGCCCTGGAAGGGTGGAGCTCTCTGGGCATAGGGCCATGAACGCTGAGCCTGGCAGAGTGCAGGTGCCTAGCATTCTTGTACAATCAATGGCTGTGTGGCTGACAGGGAGTGATCCATAGATCCCTCAACATGGCAAGATGAAGATGGGCACATTCTGTGCCCTGATGCCCAAGCCCTGGGCATCGGTCCTCCTGAGAGCCTCAGGTAAAGAGGGAGCAGGAGATGAACAGCCATGTTCTCCAGAGCAAGGGAGTTGGCAGGTGGGAAGCTATGGCTGGTTTCTGTTTCAGCAGATACAGGCATTCCTGAGGGTCCCATCTGCCTCCTCCTGCCACACTCCTACTCTCCCCCATACAACCCCCTACCACCCACCCTGGAGGAGAGGAAAGGCCAACTTCAGCTCCTCTGACAGGGAGCACTTCCTGCAGATGCTACTTAAGCTGCCAAACTAGGCCAGGTTTTTCCTCAGCTGATCAATCACATATGTATTACTTATAAGGTCGATTGAGCTTTTTGAAAAGAAAATAATCATTGCTATGACTTATTAATAACCACCGTTCCTGCCCGCACCACTTCCTTTAATCAATTTATCTGGTTCTGAAAAATATTTAATTCAGGCTGCAAGTCAAACAGCTCTGGTATTCTAAGGCTCCGGCACTGATGTATCCAGAGAGACCCTAGGAACAGGCCTGGGACAAGCTCAGGATCCAGGAAAGAGGAGGGTGCCTTTTGGTCTTCTTAAGTTAAGCTCTTCTGCTTACAAGCACTCTCATTTATTCCTATTCTATGGAGCTCCTCCAGGTGCACCACAGAACTGAGTTGATGGTGTTCCTTGAAGGAGCCCCCTGTCTGACAGGGGAAATAAATCCCACACCACCACTATGCAGGGATAAAAGAGCCATAGGTCATGGGAGCCAGGCAAGGGTTGCAGATGTTGAAACAAAGGTGCAGATCTTTCTGCTGTAGGCCTCTGCAGAGTCACCCAGGAAAGGGAGTACCCAGGCAGGGCCCTAAAGGATAGCCAGATGTGGGTCTGCCTCAGGGAAGGTGAGGCTCAGATTTGGGAGGAAGGGGTTGGCATAGACTTGTTATTTCTTGGCTCACATGAGTGCATGTGCCAGCTGGACATGGTCACCTCCTCCCACTGACAAGTATGTCTTGAGAGAGAGTCCCACAGATCTACCTCTCCTTTTTCACCCCTCAGTTCCCAACAACCCCTTGCATTTAGAGACTTTGTCCTCTTCTGATATTTCTCTCACCAAATCCAACAGCCTCCTGGTTCTCAGACTCCAAGACCCTTTGGTGGCTCAGACACTGTTAATCACTCTCTCTTTCTGGAAGCTCTTCTTTCCTCCCACTCTGCAGAGCACAATTGCCCACATCTATACTCATCTTTCACCCCCTACCCTGCCTGCTTCTGGACTCCTTCTGTTTTCCAGAAAGCCCTGATGTTGCTCATGGTTGGCCCAGCTGCCGCTATCCCATCATGAATCCCATCATGAATCTTTATTTCTGCGTGAATCTTATGCAGGAACTTCAGCCTCGCGTGTTAAACCATGTGCAGGACACTCTGTAGAGATGTCTCATGGTCATCTGGGTGTATGTTCAAATTCAATATGTGCATGTATCTCCCAAACCTGCTCCTCATCATTCTCATCCAGGACTCCACAACCAATCTGTCTTGACAACTTGAAGTTCTGATGAATCCCTCCCTTTTGAGTCCTAGAAGAGTATACAGTTTCCGGATCTGAAGATGCTCTGTACTCTGCTCTGTTTTCATTTCCCCTTTGCTGCATCAGTTCAAATATAACCATCCCTTACTTCCTGAGTTACTTCCTGATTCAGCTCCTAGCCA